GGAAGGAAATCTGCTCGGGCGGTGGTTTTCCCTACGGATTCAATCATCACCTCGCTAATGAGATTAGCATGGCTCATTCATGGCTAATGCTTACTGAGCCAGGATCCTCACTCATCTTCCCACAGGAGCTCAGCATAAGGGGGAGAGGAACTGAGGGCTGCCTAGGTCGGGGTACCCAATGTCGGCTTGCCAATCCAGGAAAGCCCCCTGTCTGGACCTCCATGGGAAGGGAAGTGAAAGATATCTATAGAGAGAAAGAGAAGAGAGAGGGAGCGAGAGGGAAACAGAGAGAGAGAGATTTTTCTTCTTCTCCTTAACCTGTCAGAAAGTGAAGGAGATAAGCAAGAAAACCTCCTGTTTCAATCTGGTCTTCATACTAAGAAGAGAGAGAGAGAGAGAGAGAGAGAAAAGAGAGAGAGAGGAGAAGAGAGAGAGAGAGAGAAGAGAAGGGGGAAGAGAGCGAGAGAGAGAGAGAGGGAGGAGAGAGAGAGAAAGAACCCCAGAGAGAGAGGGAGGCCTGCCCGCCCAGTAGGTAGCTTGGCAGTGTTTCCCACAGCATTTGGAGAGGCGCGGTAGTACCTGGCACACACCTGGGGAGAAGTGAGGGAGGGATGAAAGAAGGGATTAGTGATACCTGAGGTCTGTTGGTGGAGACTGCCCAGCAGAATGCACAAACGTCCCATCACACACACATTATCTCTAACATAAACAAACACATTCTAATACACATACACACACACTCTCTCTCTCTTGCACACACACAAACCTCACAGTAGCATCTCACCATCCTGTAGTTAGTATCTACCTCTTAACCATCACTACATTACACTACCATGTCCACTAGCTGTGTGAGGAGAGCATCACTACATTACTCTACCATGGCCACTAGCTATGTGAGGAGAGCATCACTACATTACTCTACCATGGCCACTAGCTGTGTGAGGAGAGCATCACTACATTACTCTACCATGGCCACTAGCTGTGTGAGGAGAGCATCACTACATTACTCTACCATGGCCACTAGCTGTGTGAGGAGAGCATCACTACATTACTCTACCATGGCCACTAGATGTGTGAGGAGAGCATCACTAACATTACTCTACCCATGGCCACTAGCTATGTGAGGAGAGCGTCACTACATTACTCTACCATGGCCACTAGCTATGTAAGGAGAGCATCACTACATTACTCTACCATGGCCACTAGCTGTGTGAGGAGAGCATCACTACATTACTCTACCATGGCCACTAGCTGTGTGAGGAGAGCATCACTACATTACTCTACCATGGCCACTAGCTGTGTGAGGAGAGCATCACTACATTACTCTACCATGGCCACTAGCTGTGTGAGAGAGGTGGACAGAGAATGGAGTCGCCTTATCACATATTATGTCAGCCACCGTCCGAGAGATGCAGAGCAACAACCTGAGTATGAAACACACTCTTATCGGCCAACTCCAGCGGGACACACACACTTCACAGTAACGGTGTAGGAGGAAGCTATCACTCTGACGATCTGATGGATTGGACAAGGAGGAGGACAGTGGAGCAGCGAGAGGTACACTCCAACACACACACACAATCAGACATATCACCATGCTACCCCATACACACACACACACATACACACACAAAACATCTCCCCATGACCATAGAGATCTGAACCTGGTCTGTGGTTTCATCTCCTCTCCCTCTGTGTTCTCCAGTTCTTCTGTCTCTAGCTGAGATCATTCCTTAAGGGTCTGGCTGCCTGTCTGTCAACACTGAGAAGACTGTCATACTTTCATACGTCCCAAATGACACCATATTCCCTATGTAGTGCACTACTTTTGACCACGGCCCATAGGGGATATATAGGGGATAGGGTGCCATTTAGAACGCTGCCATAAACCGACTGTGTGGAGACAAAGTACTCAGACTCACTACCATCAATATTCAGACACACCAGCTTTGAAGAAAGTAGTTGCTCAAAAGTTAAACGTGTCAAACTTTTAGTTTGTCTCCCTGAACTAGTAGTGCAAAGACACCATTTTGATTGGACTGCATGAGAAGAGCTGAGAGACCTTTCGCCAGTCATACTGTATCTTTCGCCCTCTTTCTTTCTTTCTTTCTCTCTTTCTCTCTCTGTTTTTCCAGAAAGAACTTGGCAATTTCCCCTTGTTGACACCACTTGTTGCAGTGGCCAGTTGGGCCTGAACCTTGCCAGTTGGGCACAGAACACTAAATGTTTATGCATTTTGTATTGTATTTTGCATTGTATTATGTATGTGATACATGGTTGGGATACGACTGTGATTTGCGGTTGTCTCGCCGGGCTATCTTAAGATGAAGGCACTAGCTGTGGGTCGCTCTGGATGGGAGCGTCTGCTGAATGGCTAAATTGTAATATGTATATTTGTGTATATTATGTATTTTATTTGTTGTGTTGTTTCCTGTTTGGACCCCAGGAACAGTAGCCGTTGCCTCGGCAACAGCTAATTGGGGATCCTATTAAATACTAAATACTGTAACAAGCCTAGTGAGGACAACCTACTTACTGACCACCACACTTACATTCATAGCCAAAGATGCTGAAGAAAAGCATATTCAAATCCTTGAAGTCAAACAGTGCTGCTGGTTTTCTTTTCTCCCTGACACTTAGTTGATCAATTCATGTCACTGATTAAAAGTCATACTGGCACACAGGCATACTATTTCTGCAGCACCTGGGGATTGACGTTGTGCTGTCTAGAAGTTTCTCTAGACTAAGTGACGAAATACCCCAGGCGCCAGTCAAACCTCTTTATTCTCATTACAACACTAACCCATCACATCCCCTTACGACCACTCACACACACACACACACACACAAACACACACACAGCCCTCACAACCAATAAGAGATAGGGAAAGACTCACTCACCTATTCTTCTCTTCTCCTGGTGCTTCTCTGACTTCTCTGACAGTCTACTACAAGAATGGAGAGATCCAGGTGAAGAACGAGATGAAGATAGGAAGAGAGAGGCTTCTCCTCAGGTTGTCTCTTGTTAGTCCCCCTGTTTCAGTCACTGGTGGCTGGGTAGATGGGTGGCTTGGTCTAAAAGTCTGGGTGCTTGAGCCAGTTGTGGTCCTTGGTGGTCCTTCCCTCCAAGGTCCACTCTTAGTCCAGAGTAGACTGGGTATGACCGTCAGTCCATCACCATAGAGACACTGGTCTGGTAATCCACCAAGTCTTCACTGATTAATGCAGGGGTTTTGGACAAGTAGCTGTGGAGAGAGAAAGAAAGAGAACGTGTTTTAACTTTAAATTCAGCTAGTCAAACAGACAATCTTAAAGGGCGACTGCACTTCCTGATTTGGCCTCGATTTAGTTCATTAAGAAATACTAGCAGCCATGACTGAATTCAAATGTGAGTTGGTTTCGGGTGTGGTTTGATGCGAATGTCTCCGGGGTTAGTTAAGGACTGTCAATAAACCTAACAATGTAAATGAGAAAAAACATTATGTGGCACACCTTTTACTTTTCTCATTAAATGCTTTCAGTATTTGCATATTAATTTCTACCATTTATAGTTGGTTTAAGGTTTTTATATCATTGAAATTTGGTGCTATTGGAATTTTTTACATATTGTCCCATGTACATTGAGAGAGAGAGAGAGAGGAGAGAGAGAGAGAGAGAGAGAGAGAGAGAGAGAGAGAGAGAGAGAGAGAGGAGAGAGAGAGAGAAGGAGAGAGAGAGAGAGAGAGAAGAAGAGAGAGAGAGAGAGAGAGAGAGGAGAGAGAGAGAGAGAGAGAGAGAGAGAGAGAGAGATGGAAAGAACCCTAGAGAGAGGGAGAAGATATTGTACTCTGTGTAAGATACACTGTAAATTGGCTAGACATGCTAAACTGTCTGTGCATGGCCTGACTTGCTGGCATTGCAGCTACTCTAATTTCCATCCTGTAAAAAATCACATTTACATTTTCCCAGCCTCATCCCAAATGTCACCGTATTGCATCATTTTGTTGATTGCATGTAGCATTTACATTGCCCAGCCATGTATGCATAGGCTACATTTGCCTTCAGAAAGTATTCATACCCCTTGATTTGTTCCACATTTTGTTGTGTTACAGCCTGATTTCAAAATGTATTAAATATGTATTTTTCACCAATCTGCACACAATACCCCATAATGACAAAGTGAAAACATGTTTTTAGAATTTTTTGAAAATGTATTGAAAATGAAATATCTAATTTACATAAGTATTCACACCCCTGAGTCAATACATGTTACAATCATCTTTGGCAGCGATTACAGCTGTACCTTTCTGTGTAAGTCTCTAAGAGATTTGCGCACCTGGACTGCACAATATTTGCACATTATTCTTTTTAAAATTCTTCAAGCTCTGTCAAGTTGGTTGTTGATCATTGCTAGACAGCCATTTCCAAGTCTTGCCATATATATTCAAGTAGATTTAAGTCAAAACTGTAACTAGGCCACTCAGGAACATTCAATGTCATATTGGTAAGCAACTCCAATGCATATTTGGCCTTGTGTTTTAGGTTATTGTCCTGCTTTTCTATCCAAAAGGGTTGAATATTTATTGACCCAAGACATTTCAGCTTTTCATTTTTTATTAATTGGTTAAAAAAAAACTTAAATCATAATTCCCCTTTGACATTATGGGGTATTGTGTGTAGGCCAGTGACACACAATCTCAATTGAATCCATTTTAAATTCATGCTGTAACAAAACAATGAGGAATAAGTCAAGGGGTGTGAATACTTTCTGAAGGCACTGTAACATAGCAACTCACAGTGACATCATCAGTGACATCATCTACCCTCAATTAACATTGTAACTCTTCAACTGTATCGCTATATGAATAAAACAATTTGTTTTCAAAAGAGCAGTCATTTAACCTTCTGTTTGTCTTTGGGGTAACACACACAACTAACACACACACACAACTAGCGCTCACAGTCTCATGTCAGAATTAGACGTTCATCCATGTTTCTCAAACGTCAAATTTCAAAGTGTTTACAGTTAAGTTTAGGCATTAACTCCACATATTGAAGGTTAGGTATTAACTCTGAATGGTTAAGGTAAGGGTTGAGGTTTGGAATAGGCTTAAAACAAAAATCTCAAAAACAACTTTCTATCACTGGATTCAAAAATGTTGCACCAGAGGCAGATGCTTACACCCATCCCACATCCTCGTCCACAACACCCTGGCAAAACCCAACCCCCCCCCCCCCCACCCCCACCCCCAGGTCACTGCACAGCAAATTTGCTGGTGTTCAAATCTTGGTGTTGAGGTAAAAAGTGTTGTGAGTGTTATATCTGCGTGTTGATTATAGTGAGGTTAACACCTGCAGTGGGATTGAAATTGAAGCCACCTGCAGTGAATATTTTAAGTGTTATTTGAATCACAGTGGAATCAACACCACATGGTGTTGTTGTCACTCGACTGCGTTGAGTTAATTTCCATTAACTCTCTCAGAGTGAAAAAGACCTGGGAGAGGACTCGTTATCATATTTCCCAGCATGCTTTGCTGCAGGTTGCTTTTTAGAATAGTTTGTTTTAATCTCTATGTTTCTGCAGGCACATTGATTGATTCATTGATTTTATACTACACAAAGATAAATAACATTTTTCTATACTACAATGACCAAAAATATAAACGCAACATGCAACAATTTCAAAGATTTTACTGACTTACAGTTCATATAAGGAAATCAGTCAATTGAAATAAATTAATTAGGCCCTAATCTATGGATTTCACATGAGTGGGAATACAGATATGTGTCTGTTGGTAGGGGCATGGATCAGAAAACCAGTTAGTATCTAGTGTGACCACCATTTGCCTCATGCAGCGCGACACATCTATTTTGCATAGAGTTGATCAGGCTGTTGATTGTGGCCTGTGGAATGTTGTCCCACTCCACTTCAATGGCTGTGCAAAGTTGCTGGATATTGGCGGAAACTGGAACACACTGTTGAATGCGTCGATCCAGAGCATCCCAAACATGCTCAATGGGTGACATGTCTGGTGAGTATGCAGGCCATGGAAGAACTGGGAAATTTTCAGCTTCCAGGAAATGTGTATAGATCCTTGCGACATGGGGCCGTGCATTATCATGCTGAAACATGAGGTGATGGTGGCGGATGAATGGCACGACAATGGGCCTCAGGATCTTGTCACGGTATCTCTGTGCATTCAAATTGTCATCGATAAAATGCAATTGTGTTCGTTGTCCGTAGCTTATTCCTGCCCATACCATAACCCCCCACCCTCACCCCCGCCACCATGGGGCACTCTGTTCACAACCTTGACATCAGCCAACCGCTCGCCCACACGACGCCATACATGCTGTCTGCCATCTGCCCAGTACAGTTGAAACTGAGATTCATCTGTGAAGAACACACTTCTCCAGCTGCCAGTGGCCATCGAAGGTGAGCATTTGCCCACTGAAATCGGTTACGACCCCAAACTGCAGTCAGGTCAAGACCCTGGTGAGGACGACAAGCATGCAGATGAGCTTCCCTGAGACGGTTTTTAACAGTTTGTGCAGAAATTCTTCAGTTGTGCAAACCATCAGCTGGAGGTCCTGGTCTGGACCCACAGCTTCATCCTGAGGTCCTGAGGTCCTGGGCATAGTTACACGTGGTCTGGGTTGTGAGGCCGGTTGCTAAATTTTGCCAAATTCTCTAAAACGACGTTGGAGGTGGCTTAGAGAAATTAACATTCAATTATTTGGCAACAGCTCTGATGGACATTCCTGCAGTCAGCGTGCCAATTGCACGCTCCCTCAAAACTTGAGACATCTGTGGCATTGTGTTGCGTGACAAAACTGCACATTTTAGAGTGGCCTTCTATTGTCCCCAGCACAAGGTGCACCTGTGTAATGATCATGCTATTTAATCAGCTTCTTCATATGCCACAACTGTAAGGATGAACTATCTTGGCAAAGGAGAAATGCTCACTAAGAGGGATGTAAACAAATTCATGCACAACATTTGAGAGAAATAAGCTTTTTGTGCGTATGGAAAATGTCTGGGATAATTTATTTTAGCTCATGAAACATGCGACCAACACTTTACATGTTGCGTTTATAATACATTTCAGTGTACCTTTACCCACCCGCAAAATGAATATTTAGGAGCAATTCCTCCCAGCCACAACTTCTCACCTGAAAGCCTTTTTTCTTTATTCAAAGGCTGAAATTGGGGTTGAAAGTGACCCTTTAAATTAACACGTTATTTGAGCTGATGCTGTTACACCTGCTCAGTGTTAGGGAATTAACACCTGTGGTGTTACAGTAACTCATTTTAGGGTGTTGTTTTAACACTGTAGAGTGTAAAGCCTTATTTGCATATTTATTTCCCAGGGTGCCATTCAAGTAAATGTTAGAGGTACCAGTACCACCCATGACTGTGTTTGCTATTGACAGAGACATGAGTGTTGCATTCGATGGCGTTCAGTCCTGTAGCCTTCACAAAGTGAGTGCCTAAGTGAATATTTTATAAAAATTTAATAATTTATGACAATACATCACTTTAAAAAAATTTATATCATACTTCGACAGCCTAATTTTACCCTAACACATTGTTCTGAAACTCCTGCTTTGCAGGCCACATTGGCAAGTCACATTATGCTGGCAAGTCAATGCTATGTACTATAGTTGTACCTGATCCCAACATTTTCTCACTAAAGCATACTTACTAGAAGTCCACTGGCACACTCTGATTATAAAATTATGTGTATCGCAAGCAAATATTGCTCTAGACAGTTAGCTCACAGTGATAAGGTGCCACATTCCTGACATCTATTGCAACTTGCTGTCAGTTCAAATCCCCCATGAGGTACACATTTTTTTTTGTAAATGTGGACTCACATTTATTGCGGTATTATGTTGTGAAGAATCATCACCTTGAAAATGAAGATTCGGGGCTCAATTCAATCCAACCCACATTGCAGTATTTACACAGTAGCTCTTTTTACAATGGTCAAATTAAGTCACAGATTGGTCTTGGGTACTATATAAAAACCTACAACTGCTACCAGGGCGACCCCTTTCACAGGTATGTTTTCACTTTT